GACCCTATTGGCCTGAATATCAGTATACTTTGTCCGCCACCATAGTTTTGCATCTCACCTAGATACATGGTAGCTGTTGTAACCTTTCTCGCTTCATCTTGAATCGAAGCCGCAAGAAAGTATTGTTCCATATCGAACAAGAAGTTCTCAACTTCTTTAGCATCGCGTGCCCTTCCGTAGGTACATGGTTCTGGAATTCTGAGCCTATGCACAGGCTCTTGTGCGGTGGCTTGCCCATTGCCAACTGCGTATTGAAGCACTAGTAATTGAGATCTCAACTCTTCCATCTCATCCAGCAGATCAGGTATGATAGCAACAGCTTCAGTTTTTGTTGTGTAAGCCATTCGGCTTTCACCCAGTTAGGTGTTTAATTCACGAATCTCCACCTCTACTGTCTCGACTCTTTCATCGAGACTCTCCGCGGCATAGCACAACCTAGCAGTTGTCATCTCAAGCGCATCCATGCGCTATTTCATGTTCCTCTTTTGAAGATCTACCACCCCGTGGTGTTCGATTCCATTGGATCCATAGATTTCTTATTGAGGGTCTTGAGCCGCAGCTCTGATACCAACTTTCACGGGTTATCTTTCTTCTTAGCACATAAAGGGACACCGTACGATAGTAGTCTGCTCCGCTAGACTACGTTCCGCCTTCTCTCGGTCGTTTCGGGACGAAAGGAAATTTGATCACAATTTAAAGAAAGCTTACAACATAAAATTCAAATGCATTGAACATAACTTGATTATTGATTGCTAGAAAGCTTGAAATTACAATTGATTGAAAGCAGGAAATGACAATGGCTAGTGCAGGGGGCGAACACTAGAAAGCTTGAAAGATGTTTGAAAGACTAATATCCCCTATAATAGATTTAGCAATAAAAACCCAATGACAGGAGTAGACGTTTAAAGTCTCTAGAATCATACTAAATTTTTTTAATTTCCAACTATTTTGCAATTGAAATAAAATATTTACAATGTGCGGTCGAAGTTGGGCAAACTGCGGCTGCGATAGGGTCACGGGGCTTAAGTAAAGCTGCTATCCGTGACACCAGGTCCTGTAAAAACAAAAAAATTGGTTATGGCCCATTTTTTTCCACTGTCCAACCCAGATTTGACAAATTGAAAACCCATTTATATAAAATTAAACCAATTTCCCAAACCCTTTACCCCTGTGCACACACGGTTTCTTCATTTCTTCCAATTTGAATTTGCCCATTAGCGCCGACGCCGTCCGCCGTCCCAAGGTACAGACTTATCTTGATCCCCGTATTTATATGTATGTATATATGATTTATCAGATGTTTGCGTTTTTGTCATTTTATTAATTCTAGGTTTATGGGTTTTTTTTGTTGATGATTGTTCTGACGATGTTGTGAAGAGACTTTTGATTACTTTTTAGTTGGGACTCTTGGTATGGGTTTATTCATACATTATTCATATTAAGATGTATGCAATTTCTGTTTATATGTGTCTTTTTATATTGAATTTTTAGCCGTAAGTCAATGGAAATTAAAGAGAAAAAGGAAATGTAGATTGGGTTTTTGGGCAATGATTTGGCACCTGAAGGAGGAAATTAATTTAGGCAATGGCCAGTGTGGTATTAAAGAAATCGATGAATGATTAGGTTAAGCATGTAAGTTTGGTGAAAATTATTGGATTTCAAGAAGTTATTGGATTTTATCAATCTATATGGCTTACTATTTGAAATTTCAAGAAGTTAATTCCAATTTTCATCCCGTGGTTATATAAATATCTTTGTTTCTGTTCAATTTCTTGTGTTTTTGTGTTTAATATCTTCAGACTTTGTCTGCATTGTTATTCGAGCCTTCAATATCAAAATGTCTGTCGAGCTTTTCAAACAGACAATATAGTTATCGACCTTGTTATACGCCTGGATGGAGTTTGAACAATATCTACTTTTGTTTTCCCGGTTACCGTCTTTTTTGGAGTCACAAGTGTAATGAAGTGTGGACACCATCTCCATTTGTTGAAATAGCCTGCTTAGTTTTTCTAGGCAGGCTTGTCTGTTCAATCCAGACGGAACTGAGGTATGATGGAGGAGTTCGTGTTTTGTTATTTGTGTTACCTGCATCTTCATCTTGATACTTGTCCGAACACATGGACAATCGACGGGATGTATTCCTTGCGAACAGTTCTTCTTTGACAACTTTCATCTTCTGCTTACAATATCAAGAGATGGATTCTATGTTGTAGGAAAGCTTTATTTAAAACTTGGGTTTGTGATTTTAACTCTGTCAGTTAAGGTTTATATCGAAGTATTGAAATTAAAATGACGCTATATATTTTAGTTATGTGGTGATATTTCCTCTTTATTTGATACGATTATTTCAATGGGATAATTGTAATTTGTATAGCTAGATAGATATTATCTGAAAAGTCAAAGCTGTAAAATTTATAATTTAATAGAATTAATTTTTTAATTAAAAATTAAAAAAATGGTTTGATTTAATTTTGCGTGAATTTTGAAAATCGAAACTTAAACCAAATCATTTTGAAATAGTTTGGTTCGATTTGAGATAAAAAAATTGTAGGTCCACACGGATCCAAACAAACGGGTTCGGTTCAATT